TGTTAGCGTATAGGAATGCTACTTATTTGTGTGCATTAATTTTGTAACCTAAGACTTTGCTGAATTTATTTATCAATTCTAGGAGTCTTTTGGAAGAGCCTTTAGGGTTTTATAGATATAAGATCATATCATCAGGAAACAGAGATGATTTGACCTCTGCTTTTCTGATTTGGATGCCCTTTATTTCTCTCTCTTGCCTGATTACTCTGGCTAGGATTTCCAGTACTATGTTGAATAGAAGTGATAACAGTGGACATCCTTGTCTTGTTCCAGTTCTTAGAAGAAATGCTTTCAACTCTATCCATTCAGTATGATGTTGGTTGTGGGTCTGCCATTTATGGCTTTTATTATTTTTAGGTGTTTCTTCTATGCCTAGTTTGTTGAGGGTTTTTATCATTGTATTTAATAATGTTGGATTTTATCAAATGCTTTACCTGCATCTATTGAGATAATCATAAGGCTTTTATTTTTAATTCTGTTTATGTAGGGAATCACATTTATTGATTTGCATATGTTGAACTATCTTTTCATCCCTGGGATGAAACCCACTTGATCATGGTGAATTATCTTTTTGATGTCCTATTGGATTCAGTTTGCTAATATTAAATTTTTTTTTGAGGATTTTTGCATCTACATTCCTGAGGGATATTGGTCCATAGTTTTCTTTCTTTGTTGTGTCCTTTCCTGGCTTTGCAGAATGGATTAGGGAGGATTCCTTCCTTCTTGATGTTATGGAACAACTTCAGTAGAATAAGTGCCATTTCTTATTTGTAGGTCTGGTAGAATTCAGATGTGAATCTGTCTGGTATGGGGCTTTTTTTGGTTAGAGATTTTTATTACTGTTTCAATGTCACTACTGTTGTTGGTATGTTGAGGATTTCTATTTCTTCCTGATTCAAGTTTGGGAGGTTATGTATTTCCAAAAAATGTATCCATTTTATCTAGATTTTCTAGCTTGTGTGTGTAGAGATTCTCATAGTTTCTGAAGATATTTTGTATTTCTGTGGTATCAGCTGCAATGTCTCTTTTTTTTATTATTTCTGATTAAGTTTATTGAATCCTTTCTTTTCTATTCCTGGTTAATCTAGCTCATAGTCTATTGATTTTGTTTCTCTTTTCAAAGAACTAACTTTTCATTTCATTAATCCTTTGTATTTTTTTTTTTTTTTGGTTTAAATTTCATTTGGTTTTGCTCTGATGTTTGCTATTTATTTACTTCTGCTAGCTTTGAGTTTGGTTTGTTCTTCTTTTTCCAGTTCCTTGGGCTGTGACATTAGGCTATTAATTTGTAATCTTTCTGTCTTTTTGATATAGGCATTTAGTGCTGTGAAATTCCCTCCTAGCACTGCTTTTTCTGTGTCTTAGGGATTTTGGTACCTTGTGTTGTTTTTGTCATTTAATTCAAAAATTTTTGTGATTTCTATCTTGATTTGTCATTGACCAAAGGATCATTTAGCAACAGGTTGTTTAATTTCTATCTATTTTTGTAGTTTTGAGAGTTTCTCTTGGAATTGATTTCTAGCTTTATTCCACTGTGGTCTGAGAAGATACATGGTATGATTTCAATTTTTTAAAATTTGCTGAGACTTGTTTGGTGGCCTAATATATGATCTATCTTGGAAAATATTCCATGTGCTGATGAGCAGAATGTATATTCTGCAGTTTGGTTATAGAATGTTCTGTAAATGTCTGTTAGGTTCATTTGCTAGAATCCTATTTAAGTCCAGTGTTTCTTTGCTGATTTTGTGCCTTGATGATCTGTCTAGTATTGTCAGTGGAATGTTGAAGTCCCTGTCTACCTCCCTCTTCTTCATATTGCATGCCTCCATTGCTTTTCTGTTGATTCCCAATGATGTCTCTTAGACTGTCCATCTGAAGGCAGATATCTACTTGTCAATTTCCATTCTTTTTGTGAGAACATCATGTGCCGGCTGCTTCTAGTCCTTCTAAAGATAGGATCCTATTCCCTCTGGCTTGTAAGGTTTCCTCTGTGAAGTCTGCTGTTAGTCTGATGGGTTTTCCTGTGTAAGTTTCTCGAGGTTTTCATCTTACATCTTGTAGGATTTTCCCTCCATTTTGACTTTGGCCAGTTTGATGAATATGTGCCTTAGAGAAGTCCTGTCCACAATTAATCTACTCCTTGACCTCTTCTGCCCCAAATCCCCTCTAGGTTTTTAAAGATTGGAGTTTTCTTGGTATGTCTTTTCCTATCATTTTGCTTTTAATATGTATTTGTCTTTATATTTAAATCATGTTTCTTGCCATCAATATACATGTCTTGCCTTTTCATCCAGTCTGACTAGATAGAATAGAATGAGTGAATGTCTCAGGTAGGGTGCAGCATGCCCAAAAGCCCTGAGGCTGGAGTGCAGAAAGCCAGGAAGCAGGAAATAACTATGGCTGGGATAGTCTCAAAGCACAGACCATGCTGGAAGCCAGTATAAAAATTTTAGTTCTTTTTTCTGAGCAATGGGGAGTAGAGGAAGTATTTAACCTGGAAACGACATGATCAAAAGAGCCTGGCCTTAAAGGTGTCTCAGCTAATGCCCAGCATGTTTAGAGAGTTTTCTCCATTTGGGCTAGTTCAGAGTCTAGCATCTTCCTGAACTGTGAGAGCTCTGGAAATCCAACATCTACCAATAATTGTTCTTTGTCAGGCTTTGCAAAGATATGCCCTGCACATGCCATGGCTTTTATCTAGCCAAAGATCAAGAGGACCCTCTGTAGATTTCAGAGCTCCTTTTTTGCCCATCTCCCTCCTCTTCCGTACCCTGCCTGACAAGCGGCAGCTGCCTTACCAGCCTCAGATTCCAACCCCTACTCCTCTGCCCAGTGACTGTGCAGCTCTGGCTCAGTCTGGAAAGTGCCTCTAGGCAGAAAGCTGGGGTGAAAGTAGAAGTCACTCATGAGTGTTCTTTCTCCCAAGGGTAACAACCTTGATTTCTTAATCAATGCCTAAAAACAGTTGCTTCATATATTTTTTCTGTTTTTATACCTGTTTGCTATAGCAGGGTAAATCCAATACTTGTCATTCCATCACAGATGGAACCAAAAGTCCTAATGTCTATTTTTTGAGTAGTTTTTTTCTTCTTTTTGCAGTGGTGGTGGTAGTGGTGGTGGTGTGTTTGAGAAATGAACCATATACTATAAACACACAATTAACTTTGAAGCATAGATTTTTTTTTTCTCATTTTGACAGTAATGAGACAATTAAATACTATAAAAATTCATCTTGGTACATCCATACAATGGAACATTATTTAGTGACAAAAAGAAATGAGCTATCAAGCCATGACAAGACATGGAGGAAACTTGAATCCGTATTGCTAAGTGAATGAAACTAATCCAAAAATGTGACATACTATATAATTTCAACTATGTGACATTCTAGAAAAGGCAAAGCTATGGAGATAGTCAAAAGATCAGTAGTTTCCAGGAGCTGCAGATGGAAGAAGGGATGAACAGGAAGAGAATGGGTATATTCAGGGCAAGGCAGTGAAAATACTTTGTATGATACTATCATGGTGGATAGATGTCATACATTTGTCCAAACTCATAAAATGTACAATGCTAAAAGTGAATTTTTGTTCATAATAATGTATCAATATTGGTTCCTCATTTGTAATAAATGTACCACACTAATGCAAAGTATGAATAATAGGGGAGACCAGGTGTGGTGGCTCATGCCTTTAATCCCAGCACATTGAGAGGCTGAGGTGAGAGGATCCCTTAAGGCCAGGAGTTGGAGACCAGCCTGGCAACATAGTGAGAAACACCTCCACAAAAAAAAAAAAAAAAAAAAAAATTAACCAGGCATGGTGGCACATGTCTGTAGTCCCATCTACTCAGGAGACTGAGAAAGGAGGATTGCTTGAGCCCAGGGGTTTGAAGCTGAAGTGAGCTATGATGATGCCACTGCACTCTAGCCTGGGTGACAGAGTGAGATCCTGTCTCCAAAATATAAAAATAAAAAAAAAATAATAATAATAGGGGAAACTACAGGGGAGATGAGAGGGTAAATGGAAACTCTATACTTTCTACTCAATTTTTCTGTAAATGTAAAGCCACTCTAAAAATAAAATCTATTAATTAAAAATTTAAAATATCAGTTGACTATAAAGATATATCTTTAGAGTTCTAAACAGAAACCTATTTCTGAAATACTGTAATTTGCATGGGGAAAAAAGAAATGTTCAATTAACTATGATCATTTGACTTACTAAAACACAAACTAAATTACCAAAAAAAGTATAATATTTATTCTAAGAAGTATCTTCTGGGATCAGCTCTGTTCTACTTCCACCATGCCTACATTTTACACATTCCACCTTTGTTATAAATACACATGAAGCTTGATATGCAGCAATGAATATTCCCATGCCTTAAGCTGATTCTAGATTCTAATAGAAACTAGTGGCTTGAAAGAGGTGTTGTTCTTTTACAAGAAGGTAGAATCTTGTTCAATAATGTAAAAGTAGAGGTAGCCCTGCAGGATTAGCCTGTGTCATTTGATTTTTATGAGTGCTATTGTCTAATGAGAGTTAATGATTAAGCACATAGGGTTGTATTGTCTTTTGGTTGTTGTTAACCCATTCTGCAAAGTTTATTACAAAAAAAAAAAAAAAAAAAAAAGCAACATTTGAACCCCCGTAATATTCTGAAATTTAAAAAAAAAAAAAAAAAAAAGAAAAGCATTCCACACTCAACAGTTTGGATGATGTGATTGTTGGATTTTTATCTAATTCATTTTAAGTTTAATATTTTATATTTTAACAGATTTTTTTAAAGTAGCATTATTTTTTTATAAATAGAAACTCATAAATTAATAGTATTCAAAATGCCTCATGCTAAATAAAGGGAACTAAAAGAAAGAGTAACTCAGAAAACACAGGAAGCTACTTGGCTTTCACTGTGCTTTGTGATTCAAACTTGAAAAGAAAAACAATAACATAATTGATGAAATTAAAATCAAAATTTTCTATTTTTTTCTCTCATGATAGAGTGAAGTGCTAAATCAACTCTGAGCCTGTTCCTTTAACGTGGAATTGACTGCAGCCAGTAGTGCAAAATTATGGGGGAAAAAAAATCCACCAAATGGGATTTCATTTTAAAATGCAGATCCTATTTGAAGAGCTTCACAAAGGAGCACTGCCTCTGACAAGTGGAGAAAAATCTACCCTTCAAAGCTAATTGTGGTATTAAAGTATGTATGAAAGAAAGAAAAATGGCATATAGCTATTAAAACTAGTTTTGTAATGCAGACACACTTTTTCATGGAAACAGTAACAACAGCCTCCAGGGTGTGGGGGGTGGGGAGGGGTGTGTGTGTGGAATGAGCAAGAGGGAGATTCTTCCAGATGAATGAACAAATGAATGAATGCCGGGAGGGGGAAAAAATCCAAACCCAAAATTGTTTAAGGTGACTAATTAAGACCCCCTCTTAGAAAAGCTGTTGCTAGGTAAACAAAACTGTTTAAAACATGTTCATCATTAAAGTGTCCCCTGACAGAAGGAGGAGGCGGCAGACTTGGCGACAGAAGGGAGAAGAAGAGCGGCATATGGCCCCCGGTTCTGTCCCCTGCTGACAGGCTGCCTCGCTGCAAGCCCCTTTTGCTCTGTATTCCGTGCACACAGCAGATTGCTATGCCCCAACTTTCCCATCTGTACCCCAGACTCGTGTCCCAACAACGTGGCTGCCATGCAGTCTTCAGGCGGGGAAGGGAGATTAACAACCAATCATCACAATGCTATCCATAATGCATTGTCCCCACAGCATTACATGGTATATTTCCAGTGGGGATTAGCCCATCCATCACAGGCCTTTATTGGCCCCCTTTTTTTGTTGTTGTATAAAGCCCAAACACTGTCGTAAAATTCTAAACTGCTTAATTGCTGTGCTGTAAAAATTTGCATATCAGAGATATGTCATTCCATCATTAAATGGCACTAGGTATTTGTTACAAGGTCCCAACAATCATGCCAGTGCACCCCTGAAGAAAGGTCATTTATTGGTATTATGCAAAATTTGCTGGTGAATTCAAATCAGCAGCAATTAGGGGTTTGGATACTATTGGACTCAGTGTATTTTAATTTCCTCTGGTTCAAGGCTCAGGGCATGCTGAGCCCTTTCCTCCCTGATCAGAATGTTTAAGCAACGTCCTCTGCAGCTTGGTCCCTGGGCTAAGGAGTCCTTACAGACTCCTCACCTTCACTGTCTCATATGCATCTGGGCAGTAAACTAATTTTTGCACCCTTGATTTTGTCTTTGATCAGACAGACCGTAAAAATAGCATGACCTAGGTAGTTTGCCGTGCCAAACTCGGGCATGTGTGCATCCAGTTTCCTCCATGTGTAAGATGGAGGACAATGTTTGAAACACTCGGGAAGGGCTGCGCCAGGGTGCTCAGGGGGAACACCTGTTCTCAATGCTGGATAGAGATTCCTCAATAGAGAAATGCCACTGGGGTGGCGCCCCACCTCCTCCCACCTCCGCAGGTCCCCGCAGGGGAAGGGTGTGCCGATGGGTGGAGGCGGCCGGGAGGCACAATGACACCAATGACAACACTACTCTTCCCCTCTGTCTTTGATCCGGACAGAGATCGTCCTCTCAATTGGGATGATTTACAGAGCCCACTCGGCAGGGCTCCCTTCATTTAAAAGCAGCCACTCCTGATTTCCCCGCGCTGCACCCCTGCACCCAGGGTCAGAGGAAGAGCTAATGGGTAACTAATCCAATTGAAACTACAACCGAGACCCTGCAACCATCAGGGCTTCAGCTGGAATTCAGCCAGGATACTTGCACAAGTGCTGCATCTACTTGCAGCCTAAAAACTGGAACCCCTGAAACCCCATGATCACGCTGGTTAGCTGAGTGTCTGAAGTCACCTGCGCTGATCTGCAGAAGCCGGGTCCAAAATACAGGCAGCAGGGGGAGGGATGGGGGGTGGTGGGTAGATACTCTGCCACCAACTCCACAGAGGAAGAAATCTTCAAAGACAAACAATAAGTATTTACAGTGATTGTGTCTTGGTTATATGTGACTTTTACTTTCTTCCTTATAATATTTTGGTTCTTCCAAAATTTGTACAAGGTGCATGTATTAATTCTGTAATCAGAGAGAGAAAAGTTGCTTTGTAAAAGCAAGAGAAGCAGGGGTGGCATATGCCTCCCTCATTGTGCCCTCAGGTAAGGGTTAGTGTGGGCTCTGTAGGGTGCAAGGGTGATCGACTTTCCACTGCAGGCTTTTTAAGGGACTCTTCAAACTAGCAATAAGCATGACTCATTTCAGGTTATGTATGTTTTTTAAAAAGAGACAAAATGCATAAAATACAGACCACTGTGAAACTTCTCACAAAATTTGAGAACTAAGATATTCACCCGGGATGGAAAGCAGGAGGAAGTAAGAAGGGCTGGAAGAGACAATGAAAGGATATATGTAATGGCCATCTCTTGTTAAAGGCAATAATAACAACAACAATAATAGTAATAATGAATAGCTAATACTTTGTATAATGCCAGGCATGGTTCTAAGAAGTTTATGTATATTTAATACTTGTGAAAATCATATAATGCAGGGATTATTTTTATCTCCATTTTATAGATGAAGACACGGATGCAGAGAGGTTAATTAACTTGCTTGTGTGTCCGCACAGCTAGTGGGTCTAACATCCCAAAGGCAAACCTCTAGTCCAGGCCTCTTTTCTAATAGGCTTGCTGGACAGCTCCACCTAGGTATTAAGGGCACATCATATTCAAAATGTTCAAACTGAAATCACCATCTACCTCCAGGCCTGCACAACTCCTTCTTGCACCTCACTTCAGTGATTGCCATTGTTGACGTTCTGTCACTAGGCCACAAACCTCAAGGTCTTTCCTGGGTCTTCCTTCCCTAGCATCCACATGTCTATTGATGGCACCTCTTAACATCTCTTCAGTCAGTTCCCCTCTGTCTGCCACACTGTCACTGCCATAGGTGAAGCGCTCACCTCTCCATCACTCAGATGATTGTAAATGTCCCTTGTTCTGAATTGCCCATATCCAGTCTTGACTCCTTCCACTCTAGTTTCCACGCTGCCAAGAGAGTTAGTTTTCCAGAACATCAGTCGTATCATATCACATCCTGCCCAAATTTTAAATGGCTTCCAAACTTCATAAAATAAAGTTTCTTTTCATTCTCTAGATTCATCGCCCCTGTCCCCTGCTGTAAAGTCTATATGCTGCAATGTTTCACACACTGTGCATTTTTCCAAGCTCTTCCTCCTGCCAGAAATGCAGCAAACTCAGCTGGAAGTGTTCCACTTATTCTCAAAGATGCACCCCAACTATGGAACTTTTCCTGACACCACTCCACCCACACCAAAGCAAAATTAATACCCTTATGCTAACTCATATACATCTAATTTATAGATGCTATCCCCTGCCCACCCCAGGCCATCTTAGCGACAGCTGTTCTCCCCTGTCCATATCAAATACATCTAAGTGACATCTGCTATCTCCTATCCATCCCAGGTACATCTGAGTGGCAGCTGCTCTCCACTCTATATCCCACATTCTGCATTATACTCAGGTAGTTCCCAAAAACACAGGGCTATGTCAAATGTGGTAAAGAACTAAATTGTGACCAAGGAAAATCAGTCCCAAGAAAAAAGAATGTTAATGGGGAAATTTGCGAGCCCTAGAGGAAGAACTTTCACCAGCATCCAGTGGATTCTCAGGGAGATGAGAGTTTCCTGGGTGGCTAAGTCAGGATTCTTTGAGCAGATCTGCACAGAGAAGACTGTCGAAAACCAAAAGGAGATAGGAATAGGCCAGCAGCATGCAGCGTGCATAGCTGATCACACCACTGGGGCAAGCGGGTCATGGTGGAGGGGCGAGGGGCCAGTGCCAATCAGAGGGCACATCAGTAGACTTGCCCACTGAGCACCCTGCTTGGTGGCTACAAACAGAATGTAAAACTAGTTAACTACCTCTATTGCTGAAAATATGTTCATTTGAGTTTTCCTTTTCATTATTTGTGAGATTTACTTGAAATTTAGTGATTTATTGCCAACCCGTTGCATTCTATAGTGGACATATTAGCCCAGGATTCTGGCAAGGGCTGAAGCCCAAGAAGAGTGTCACCCAGTGTGAAAAACCCTGGGCACCATCCTATGCATCCGATAAGGGACTGATAACTAGAATATACTTAGAACTCACGAAAATCAGGAAGAAAAAATCAAAAAACCTCATAAAAAGGGCAGAAGACTTGAAAGAATATTTCTAAAGAAGACAGAAACATGGCCAACAAACATTGAAAATGCTCAACATCTCTAATCATCAGGGAAATGCAAATCAAAACCACAATGAGATATCACTTTAACCCAGTGAGAATGCCTTATCAAAAAATCTCCAACAATAAATGTCTTGGTTGTGGAGAGAGAGGAACACTCCTACACTGCTGGTGGACTGCAAACTAGTTTAACCTCTGTGGAAAGAATATGGTGATACTTAAAGTGATACAATGGAATCTACCATTTGATCCAGCAATCCCATTGCTGGGCATCTACCCAAATGATCCAATGACACTCTACAAAAAAGACACCTGCACTCGATGTTTATAGCAGCACAATTTCATATTGCAAGGCTGTGGGAACAGCCCAAGTGCCCATCAATCCAAGAATGGATAATAAAATGTGGTATATGTTATACCATGGAGTACATATTAGCTCTAAGAAACAACGGTGATATAGCAATTTTATATTTTCCTGGTTAGAGCTGAACCCATACTACTAAGTGAAGTATCCCAAGAATGGAAAACAAGCACCAGATATGTTCTCCAGCAAACTGTTATAACTGAGTAGACCTAAGTGACACCATAGGTACTACAGTAATAGGTATTGGGGAGGTGGTAGGGAGCGGGATGGCATATAGCATTACATAATGAGTAGATTTGCCCATCTGGTTTGGGATCATGATTGGGACTCAAATTTTGGGGGGGTGGAAATGGCAGTTATTGAAATAAAAGCTGTACCCATAATAGCCGAAAATTAAAAAAAAAAATATATAAAAAGAACTCAGTACAGAGCCTGCCATAGTATTAAAGGGTTATAGATATGCATTCATTGCTGATTTGCTACTATTACATATTATGAGGACTTGTTTCCTCTATTCCTGACTCGGCTGTACATTAGCTGACTCACCTTGACG